GCTATTATATTTATGGAATACCTGTTCTACAGGTATTCGATTGAATCATTTGACCGATTTTTCCTTTCTAAAGAAATGGGCGTGTCTAAAGATAGCTCGAAATGTTCCATCCGAACGGAAAATTTTACCACTTCAATGCGCTTCATTGTATGTCCAGAATCGAAAATTCAAGAACTAATATACCGGGCTAACAATGTTATCTGAATATTACAGACTTATCATGTAATTTAACGCTTTTACAACCTAAATTAAACTGTTAAAATCATAACCGGCACCAAAGTCAAACCATTTGTATCGTTTACCGTATATAACTCAGTATTTTCTTTAAAATGATGAACTTATATCTAACGCAAATTACTTTCCTTGGTTAAAAAAATACGCGTACGAGAGAAAACGAGTGAGAGGCTTTTTATTCAAGAACATTCAAGTTTTTACCAGCGAGTCCCTGTATCAAGTATTGTCTAATTTTTATTCTATTAAACATAGTCTCCCTTTCTTATTTAATTTATTTGATGATTTTATTTAACTTTAAGCACAATATCATTATGTAGTACTAAAATGAAGTCCATGCACAGATGCTATTGTACATCGGGAATTTTCTTTAATCCTTTATCCATGCATTCCTCCTTCAAAGAAAATAATTATGAATGAATTGATTGAATAACGTGTATAAAACCACGTGGTTTCGGTTTGTCAACGTGTTTTAGATCATGATCAGCAAATCACAACTCCTCGGGTCTTCCTGTCTAACAGAATAATAACCTCGAATGTATTACGTATACATCATGACATCCCCATGCTCCTCACCCCCTTTACCCAAACTTTGAAATAAATGAGGAAAGATATTTTATTTGTGGACTTCTGAGTTTAATTTTATTGAAAGTAAAGCTATTGCCCTAAAATACGTATTATGGAAAGGACTTTCAATTCCGTCTATCTTTCATATATAGAAACTCCAAGTTGTTTGAATATTAATATCCGTTGATGTTTTAAAATACCTCAATGTTGTTTTTCTGACCTGTGACAAAATGGTGCGAGATAATGCAAATTTCAAACATCTTCATTGGCCAATGACAGAAAAGTTGTAAAATTCCTGTCGGGGTTATGAACTTCTAATCACTAAAAGGTGTTTGTCTTGACACAGAGCCAAGGTTATTCTGTTAAGATCAAGGTCACTGACAGAAGAAATATTTTCTTTACTACGCTATGAATTAGTAAATGAAAATCATTGGAGGCTCTTACTTGAAACATACATTACTTATGATTGGAGGTTTTGTCATGACCCTAATCAAATGTCTTTCTGGCAAATCAAGGTCACTGACAAAGAAAAAAATGTTTAAGCATAACTTTATAATTAAAATTTACTGGAGGCTCATGCTGGGAAGAAAGATTGTTGAAATAAGAAAGTGCAGTGACCACCCCTGCGAAATGATCAAGAATAATTCTTGAACTTTTAAGAAAAGTTCATGAATTATATTTTTGAATCAGCTCATGAATTGTTCATGAAGATCCCATGAAGTTAAAATTGGACACTCATGATTTCATGGATTTTATTCATGAAAACCAAGTTCAAGAATATTCAAGAATTATTTGTTGTTCATGAACAAACTTGGATTTTTTAAATGCCTGCAAAATGATCAAGAATAATTCTTGAACTTTCAAGAAAAGTTCATGAATTATATTCATGAACTTTCAAGAAAAGTTCATGAATGATATTAAAAGGTTCAGTGCATTTTCATGAACTATTCATGAATAATTTGTAAAAGTTATTTAGGAATGTTCATGAACTATTCATGAATGTTCTTGCTTTTAGTAAACAAAAATGTAATAAGTTATGCAAAATGAAAAACTGTAAAAGAAAATATTTTAATAGCATCTTAAAAGATTTCACAGAATTTTTGTTTTCCAATCATGGTAACAAAATCTTTGTTCAAGTAAACAACTCTGATAAGTGATAGCGATATCACAGACTCCACATAAAAACAACAGTGAATTTAACGTTTCCTAATTATTTATTTCTTAAGTTTGGCATTTAATGGCCACGGCTGGTTCAAATCAATTTATGAAAAATACACGTGTACAGTGGGTGCCGACCCAATTGGTTTTTGGCACACCTCCAATAAAAGCAAACAAACAATCAATCAATCAATCAATCAATCAATATTAACTGTACACATGTCAAAGTTTTACAGGATAAGACTGACGTTTAGCTTCAAAGTTCCTGCAGTTGCGTCAGCCTTATGCATCAATCAATATTCATCAATCAATGTTCAATACGATCAATTAATGTTCAATTCAATCAATGAATGTTCAATTCGATCAATAATATTCAATTAGATCAATCAATGTTCAAACAATATTCAACAAATCAATATTCAGTTCATTCAGATCAATGTATTGTATGCTCATGTTAAGCCAATCAATATTCAAATAAATCAATCAATGTTCAATGTAAATTATGTACAAGTTCCTTGTATTCCATTCCAGAATTATCCACGCAATCATGTTCGAGTTGCGCCCTGTTAACAGCGGCGCAAGTCAAGATGATATGTGTTAAGCTAAATCCGCCTTTCAGAAATTGGCTCTTATCAATGTTATATACGTAGCATACAATACTGGGTGCAGATAGGGCCAGCCGTGACGATGCTGCTGTGTAGAAGATTGATTATAATCATAAACAACAACTACGCCCTGTTTACAGCGGCGAGTGTCATTATGATTGGATAAGTGAAACTCCTCCTCCTGGTCCTTGGCACTGTCCATCACACTGGCATGTAACTCTGTCGTAAAAAGGGGAAGTCGGACATGGCTAGGCAACGTCTTAGAATAAGTCGTGGCTCCAAACCTTCAGTATCTTTCCTGAAAAGAAAAAACTCGACACACAGAAAACGAATTCAAGAAATTAGGGATTGGGAAGGGAGGGTATTTGAAAATATTTCTCCAATAAAGCAGCACTCAAATTAAGACGTGTATCTTTGAGGGTAGTTAATAATTGACTGCTCCAATGCTCTGGCGCGTATATTGCGCGCGCATCATACCGCGTGGGGCGCTAAATGGATTTATATCGTATTCAAAAATGGATTAAAAACAACAGTGATTTAACGTCGTATTCACTGTTTCTTATAAATTATTATTTTTCCGGGAAAATTATCACTACACATCCGACTCCTTTTTAGGGTTAGTAGGCATGTTATGTAGAGTTGCCAAACAAAGGTCATTTTGCGCGCACGTGCTTGCAAGAGCGCGCACGTGCAATAGGTGAAATTACGGATATTGCCATAACTTTTCTATTTTTTGATGAAATTTTTTGAAACTCATAATGTAAGGATACATTAGTAGTATAAACAAGATTGGTCAAAATAGCAAGATCTCACGCGCATGCACGTGCGCTTCGCTCTGATTGGCTGAAATAAAGTCTTAATTTTCTTGTTTCTTGTCATAATCCTTTGAAATTTTGAACATAGTCCTACATTATAATGATCTACCGCCATGAAAGCATGCGCATGTGCGCGTGCTGCAAGCTGATTGGTTTTAAATGGCAATATATCCTTTGTTTTTTGACGAAATTCTTTGAAATTTAAAATATAGTCATGCATTATAAAAATGATATAGAAAAAAAATCACACGCGCACAATCTGATTGGCTGAATTTAAATGGCTAATTCTTTGAAATTTAAAATATAGTCAATTAGGATATTGATATAGAAAAAAATCATGAAATCAATAATGCACGTGTGCTGCAATCTGATTGGCTGAAACTTTTTATGTCTATTTCTCCTTTGTTTTTTGACGAAATTTTTTGAAATTTAAAATATAGTCATGCATTAGGATATCCTACAAAATGATATAAAAAAACCATTAAATTACGTGCATGCACGTGTGCTGCAATCTGATTAGCTGAAACTTTAAATGGCTATAACTCCCTTGTTTTTCAACCAAACAGGATGGGATTTAGAACATAGATAGATGTAAAGGACTCCTACAAGAAGGTATGATCACATGCACGTCACGCAATTTGAAATGAGTATATTCAAAAATACTCTTGAATGAGTGATTTTTATTACACTGATGCTTTAATATATTATATATTAAAATATATAAATAGTGTAGACAAGATGATATCAAACGCACATCATTCACATGCGCTTGGGTGCAATGCTAAAAATTGAATATAATTGGTATCCTTCTGGGAAAACGTTGTGTCAAAAATGCACAGAGTTTGTCTTATTTAATGAAGCTTACAGGGAAAATGGCACCGAAAGGGAGTTGGGGAGCGTTTGGGGAACATCTGTAACGGTTCCCGTTACAATTAGCACTAGTTATTTATTTCTTAAGTTTGGCATTTAATGGCCACGGCTGGTTCAAATCAATTTATGAAAAATACACGTGTACAGTGGGTGCCGATGCAAACAATCAATCAATCAATCAATCAATTCAATAAATCAATAAATCAATATTCACACATGTTTTTACAGGATTCAGCTTCATTCCTGCAATTATGCATCATCAATGTTCAATCAATTAATGTTCGATCAATTAATGTTCAATTCAATCAATGAATGTTCAATTCGATCAATAATATTCAATTAGATCAATCAATGTTCAAACAATATTCAACAAATCAATATTCAGTTCATTCAGATCAATGTATTGTATGCTCATGTTAAGCCAATCAATATTCAAATAAATCAATCAATGTTCAATGTAAATTATGTACAAGTTCCTTGTATTCCATTCCAGAATTATCCACGCAATCATGTTCGAGTTGCGCCCTGTTAACAGCGGCGCAAGTCAAGATGATATGTGTTAAGCTAAATCCGCCAAACGTGCATAGATACTCATTAACTATGCACGCCGCCACCAATGTGGGGGTAGCTTAACACCCTACTCAAATATCCAGCCGTGACCGCACCGATACATATCATATTGAATACACATTATTTTACGAGTTTATAATAGTTGAGAGTCCCCTTTTAAAATTTTCAAGGAACAGCTTATTACCAGGCGTAGAGAGGTGTACCCCGTCGGGGCGGTAATTGTCGGGACTATGATGGATATTTGACTGCTTAATGTACCCTCCATTGTGATGATATAAAATATGTTTTGCAATTGCGCTATTTACTCGCGCCCTACTTTTTTCGATATCGGGTCTCCCTTCACATTTCCAGGCAATCCTTGTTATCATTTGCGACCAAATTATCTTAGTGTGCGGAAGTATCATTTGAATTTTTTTCAAATCACGTTTTATTGCAACTATTAATTCAATGGTCTTCATACGGCCAAGGTCGTTTGCTCCACAATGTAATACCAAAAATTTTGGTGGATCAATGAACGTAAGTAAATGTTTTAAAAGTTTAAAGACACCATTCCAGCGCATTCCTCTTCGACCTTGCCACAATATTTTATGCTTGTCAAAATTAAGGTCAGATGTGAAACCTAATTCAATCGCAGCTAGGAAGGCCCATGAAATTAATGATGACCCGATGATCCAAATATCTTGATAATGTTCTGCAACGAAAAGAGGGATAGATTTTCAAGCTGTCATTCTATTTGACTGCCGGGATTCTAATATATAGGCGATAACAATCTGACTTCCACCTTCCTAACATTTTGATTGTTTCGTCATCAACACCCTGAGAATGAAAGTATGTAGCTGCTCCAATTCTAAAGGAGTGTGATTTATAGTTGCATCTAGATAAACTGAGACGCGCGAGGCATTTACTTAAGACGGAATTAAATTGATATCTAGTTAGCGGTTTACCGCCGAAATGACAAAATAATTGACCAGAAATGTTTGGTCTTTGCTGTAAATACTTGCGCATTAGTAATAACGGACAATAAGGACCGCTGATAGCGGGAATAATTAATTGTGTTCCTTTGCCGTACTGGTCTGTCTTTGACCTCCTAAGGTTAACTTCTAAGTAGGATGAAGGCTCATTCATAACGAGATCGTTATTAAGTAATGCTACATTTGAATTTCTAGAGCCTACTGTAAATTCCCCGACTCGAAGAAAACCAAAAAAGGCCAAGGAAAACGCCGCAGAAAAGAGGCTCGCCTCATAACTCGATGTGCACACAACTGGTAATATATTAATTAATTTATGGAGGAGCTGAATCGTTATTGGTAAACGTGAGTCTTTGGAGTGTCTTTCTCTCTTCATTCCTTCTACCATTTTCCGAACAATAAAATGTGAAGTATAGTCTGGTAATTCTGAGGTGGAAATCTTAATCTTATATGATATAGCTGCTAGATATGTTTTGACAGTGCTCACAGCGTAACCTTTGACGGAAAGGAAAGCAACGAAGTTTGTCAATTCCTCGAGCGATGGAGGCCAAGAATTACGGAGATGGAACTCGGACCTGAACTTAAAAAATAAATCGAGGCCGTTGTTGTATGCCGCTTTAGTGTTTTCTGAGGTGGCCATGTCGATTAATCTAACGGTTTCACTCCTGATATCAGTGAGTGAAATACCGGTGGAATAGGAGTTGACTTTACATCTGCCTTTGGGGCTAGTTCCTGGAATTTGGTCCACTGTCGACGAGACAAAGCATCAGCAATATTATTATATAAACCAGGGATATGTTCTGCTTTAAATCTAAAATTATATTTCATTGATAGGTATACTAAATAGCGAACAAAGTGCATTACTCTTTTAGATTTTGACGTCTGTTTGTTCAAGATGTATACAAGGGCTGCGTTATCTACTCTTAATATAACATTTTTTGATCTGAAGTAGTCTCCCCACAATGTCATTGCCATAACTATTGGAACAAGCTCTAAAAAGGTAACATCTCTCAAAATTTCCGTATCCCCCCATGTTGAGGGCCAAGCGAAGTGGGCCCATTTACCGTTTAAATATGCCCCGCACCCTAGGTTCTTACCCCCAGCACTGTCTGTATACAATTGAAGAATATCACTGCTTAACCAATCAACATCATTTAAATAGCATATGCCATTGAAGTGGTTCAAAAAATTGAGCCACATGAGCAAATCGTCTTTGATGGATTTTGTTATGCGGATAAAATGATGCTGCCTTTGTACGCCAATCATCGCGTCGTAAAAACGGCGATTAAAGGCGCGGGAAGATCGCACTGCTTTGGTGCAAAAGTTTAATTGGCCAACGAGAGATTGCATCTCCTTCAAAGTGACTTTAGATTTATTTGCCATTTCTGTCAACGAAATCCTAAGTTTAATTAGTTTGTCGTTGGGAATACGGACTTGCCCGAGACATGTGTCAATTTCCAGACCCAGATAAGTTAATTTTGTGACGGGGCCGACAGTTTTATCGATGGCAAGAGGAATTCCCAGTGCTTTACATAACTCCCCAAATTGCCTCATGAGTCTTGAGCAAGCGTCGGATTTCGCTGAACCAGCAAACAAGAAGTCGTCAAGATAGTGCGTAACATGTGGGCAAGCAGATTGTGACCTGACGGTCCATTCCAAAAAGGACGCGAATTTCTCGAATGTAGCGCATGATATAGAACAGCCAAATGGCAAACATTTGTCAATGTAGTATTTACCCTCAAATTTGAAGCCAAGTAAACAAAAATCATCTGGTTGAATTGGTAAAAGTCTAAATGCACTTTTTATGTCCATTTTGCCCAATAAAGCGCCTTTTCCGAGCTGACTTATCATTTCGATAGCGTTATCGAATGATGAGTAGTGCACAGATGAAAGTTCTTTATCAATGAAGTCGTTAACGCTATTGTTATGTGGGTATGACAGATGAGTAATTAAACGCCACCCCCCGCTAGATTTTGGCACGACGCCTATTGGAGACACCCTTAGATTCGAAAGTGGTATATTGTAGAAAGGGCCGGCCATGCGACCCATATCAATTTCACTTTGCAATATATTCTGGATTTCGTTCGGATGCTGGTTTGCCGAAATTAAATTTTTACACTCCAAGTGAGTGCGTGGGCCTATATACTGAAGGGAAAATCCAAATTTAAACCCATTTAACAACTCATTGCCTACATCCTGGTTTGGGTATGACTGTATCAATATTGAAAGTTGATTAATGTCTACTGGAGAATGACCGAGGTGCGTTAGCCCCCTGGGGGTAGCGAAATCTATAGTTTGGGGTTTGCCCTGGGCGTGGTTGCTGATTTGGTGATTGAAAACGAAAAGGCTGCTTTTGCAAGGAGAAGCGAGGGGATGGGTTACGAGGGCAAGTGGACATTGGGTGGTCAGATGCACACCTAATACAACGATGTGCGTAAATACAATAGGGTTTACTACATACGCCCTTGTAGTTAAAATCAAAACACATGCCTTTTGACGGTTCAACTGTTTTTTGGGGAATGGTAATCGAAGAAGTTACGTATAACATCCAAAGTTCATTGTCGATTTGCCCCCATGCCATAGAACTATTTCTTGCCTTCTTAAGCCTAAATTGCTCGTCGTACAATTTCCAGCCGGTGGGAGATCTATAAGAACCCAGTCTAACCGTGTGCATATATTTAAGTAAGCCAAGTGATTGATCGGGGTGAGCTTCGACGTAAATGCTAGTAAATACAAGGAACGCGTCTGTCCATTTCCCGATATCGGTGATTTTGCTACTTTTTCCTTTTTGCAAGACCAGTTCCCCATCTACTAGGTTAATCTTATTTTTCTTGTCCCTTTCTTCCGACGTTTCTAACAGGACGCCCAGATCTAAATACTCCCCATTTTGTATTTTTTCGCGTGTTTTGGAGGGGATCGTGCAACCCAATGCATCAGTGATACTAACAATAGGCGTAGGTAAGTAGTCAGACTTACCTATTGAGCTAACAGGCTCGTTAATGTCCTCTTCCATGCGGTGGATAGTACTGTTGTCATTTTCCCCCTCTTTTTGGTGGGATTTGGTTGCAGATTTTTCTTTTCTGGTGGACTTTTTTGCGGATGTAACCACAGTTGCGGACGACTTGCGCTTGGGCATCTCTCCAAAGAAAGTATTTGCAAGAATTTGAAAATATTTCTCCAATAAAGCAGCACTCAAATTAAGACGTGTATCTTTGAGGGTAGTTAATAATTGACTGCTCCCATGCTCTGCGCGTATATTGCGCGCGCATCATACCGCGTGGGGCGCTGTGATAAATGGATTTATATCGTATTCACTGCATAAATCCGAGTTTTATGTATATATGAAAATTATTTTACCTGAAATATGTTACAAAGTATTTTTTAAGCATATTTAAACAAATTTCAATTATTTTACGTTCATGATGGATATCAAAATAATCGTAAGATTATGCACAATTTTCATTTGTCCATTGCAATTTCATATTTTTACTTTCTTTTGATTGAAAAAAAAGGATTTTAAAACCGTAACACGATTATGAAAGAACTTCAAAGCCATTGATTGTTTACCAGTGACATTGGGTATACAGTAATGACACCTATTGTCTTTTTCACTGACCACTATACCTTGTTTATTTTGTGACAGAGAGCGACCGTGTCCACTCTGCGGCTGTTTGAAATAACATTTTCTCTTTTGTAAAGAAAAACCGTTTTGTCAAACAAAACAAAATAAAAGTATCAAAAAAGCTATTGACGGGTTAAAATTGTGCATAATGGGACGATTATTTTGATATCAAACATGGAAGCAAAATAATTTAAAGTAGTATAATTATTCTTCAAAAAGACTTTGAGAGACATTTTAGCGGAAACTTGTTTACATTAAATAAGCCAAATAAATCCAACTTTTGGGATTACATTTAATTAATTTGTTTCGCAGAACAGTTAAGGTTACAAATGAAAATATATGGCGATTTTTTAAGATAAAAAATACATACTTTATTAGGATGGGCGATTCTTTTTAGGACTTAGCTGATATCAAAAAAATGTAATGTGGTTTAAATCTACATGCTGTGGACATAGAGATTTTTTATTTAGACTTGCCATATGATGTCGACGTCACATGACTTTAGCAATTATACTTGCAGTTTAGAGGTCATCTATAAATTTCAATATTGCAAGGGCATAACCAAGTTAAAAGTTTTAGTTCAATTTATAATCCTTTTCAACACTATATGTAGTTTGTGAAAAGTGCTGCGAACCTATATAGATTCGCTTTTTTAATTGCTAAAATTTAACTTGTTGGACGGCAGGTTGAATATTTTGCTGGTCAACTACATTAAATATAACTACAATTAATTTATATGCAAGATTTCAAGAGGTTCGCAGCACTTTTCAAATATCTTAATGCTTCTTGAGTTTATGTGTAAAATCTTGACAAGATACATTGAGGGTATGCCCTTGCAATAAATCGATTTATTAGAACCCTTCCATTACTTTTTCAATGAATCTGCATACAAACACACGACAGTATCGCTTGTCTGGAGAATGTACGTACAGTTTATAAATTAAATACTGAAATAGACATCGCATCCAAGTTAAAGAGTTTTTATTTAACTGCAAATAATATTCAATTTTAGAACAAAAGACATTTTTCATTGTACAAAATGTGACTTGATCAGCCTCTCACTGTGTACAAACTGCGTCATTTTTGCGAGATGACGTCACATTGACAAGAGCATTGCGATCGATGCATTGTTTATATACTGTTGTGTGGAATATAACAAACGACAAAATTGCATGTAATAGTAAGTTTGTATGTAGTATACAGCTATCCAGCTGTTTGAAATAGCAAATAATTTCATTTTGTGGTATTTTGAAGACCTTATATTATGAGTGACGTCATAGTAGACATTTCCCGTACAAATTAGGCCCCGCCTCCCTACTGTAACCTTAACTGTGCTGCGTTGTATCGTCAATTTTAAAAATAAATAGATAAATATATTGTTCTTTTTACAATGATAAAATACGTGATTTAAATCAGTATTATTTATCTATTCACTAACCATTTAACAATCATTTATTGAATTGATTTTAAAAACTAAAATTTTCTAAAATGCATCATTACTTTTGTTATGTAGGTGTGTGTTTGTGTATTTTTGTTCTCTAAAAGGTACAAAAAAAAGCCATTCCACGTGTTTAATGGATTAAATAGGTGTTAGAGAAGTAAATAAATGGTAAATAAATAATTAATTTATCACCATAAAAATGTCAAACCTTTTAATTATATTTTATTAAATTGACAATACAACAAAATAATCAATGATTTATATCCCTAAAAAGAGATTTTTAAGGGTTTTTTTGTATAAATATTTTTTTTCCTAAACTATGTTACAAAGTATATTTTAAGCATATTAAAACAAATTTCAGTTATTTTACGTCCATGATGGATATCAAAATAATCGTCAGATCATGCACAATTTCTATTTGTCAATTGCAATTTTATATTTTTACTTTGTTTTGATTGAAAAAAAGTCGGTGTTCAAATCCCTAACACGATTATGAAAGAACTTCAAAGCCATTAATTGTTTACAAGTGACATGGGGTACATAGTAATGACACCTATTGTCTTTTTCACTGACCACTATACCTTGTTTATTTTGTGACAGAGAGCGACCGTGTCCACTCTGCGGCTGTTTGAAATAACATTTTCTCTTTGTATGAGAACCGGTTTTCTCCAATCAAAACAAAATAAAAGTATCAAAAGAGCTATTGACGGGTTAAGAATGTGCATAATGAGACGATTATTTTGATATCCAACACAGAAGTAAAATAATTAAAAGTAGTATAAATATGCTTCAAGAAGACTTTGAGAGACATTTTAGCGGAAACTTGTTTACATTAAATAAGCCAAATAAATCCAACTTTCGGGATTATAATTAATTAATTTGTTTGTATCGTCAATTTTAAAATTAAATAGAAAAATATGTTGTTCCTTTTACAATGATTAAATACGTGATTTAAATCAGTTTTATTTATTTATTCACTAACCATTTAAAATCAATTATTGAATTGATTTTAAAAACTTTAAAAAAAAAAATGCATCATTTTTTTGGTTGTGTAGGTGTGTGTGTGTATTTTTTTTCAACAGGACTGGTACAAAAAAGCCATTCAAAGTATTTTATGGATTAAATAGGTGTAAGAGAAATAAATAAATGGTAAAAGATAAAAAAAAAAATTAAATTATCACCATAAAAATGTCAAACTCTTTTATTATATTTATTAAATTGACAATACAACAAAATAATCAATTACGTATTAATTTCATATCCCCCAAAGTTAGATTTTAAAGGGTTTTTTGTATTACTATTTTTATCCTAAACTATGTTACAAAGTATTTTATTAGCATATTAAAGTGAATATCAATTATTTTATGTCCATGAGGGATATCAAAATAATCGATAGATTATGCACAATTTTAATTTGTCAATTGTGATTTCGTATTTTTACTTTGATTTGAGTGAAAACAAAAATCGGTTTTCAAAACCCTAACACGATTATGAAAGAACTTCAAAGCCTTTTTTTGTTTACCAGTGACATGGGTTACACAGTAATGACACCTATTGTCTTTTTCACTGATCACTATACCTTGTTTATTTTGTGACAGAGAGCGATCGTGTCCACTCTGCAGCTGCTTGAAATAAAATTTTCTCTTTGTATAAGAACCGATTTTTGTCAAACAAAACAAAATAAAAGTATCAAAAAGCTATTGACGGGTTACGATTGTGCATAATTAGACGATTATTTTGATTACCAACACGAAAGTAAAATAATTAAAAGTAGTTTAAATATGCTTCAAAAAGACTTTGAAACACATTTTAGTGTAATTTTTTCTTACATAAAATTAGCCAAATAAATCCAACTTTCGGGAATACAATTAATGATTTTGTTTGTATATTCAATTTAAAAATATTTAAAAAAAATTTATGCAATGATTGATTACATGCAATTAATTAGATTGATATTTTTTTTTCGAACATCAATAAGTTTAAAAAAAAAACAAACAAGAATTGCCCCGGCTGTATTTTGTTTTTTTTTTCACATAAGTCACTGAATAAATTAATTAATTAACTAATAAATCAAACAAAATAATAATTAAAAAAATAATTTTAAAAATTGATAGATAAATATTCTTTGAAGCAATGATTTATTAATTTTTCATAGTTATTACAGAGTTATAAAAGAACACAATAAGTTTCCTAACAAATTAAAAAAAATACTACTATGTGTTTAAAATAATGTTCAAAATTTCTTAGGTAAGTAACTCTGTGTACTTAATTGATAATCCCACATCTTAGGCAACCGTACAGTGCTCTGGGAGTGTGTTAACTTCTTTTTTGTTTCAATGAACATATACAGGGGCGTACTGGGGCATATACTGTGGTTTACCGTAGTTGTCTGTAGGAAACAGTAGCCATACAGTGGCATACTGTAGGCGTATCGGGGCCTACTGTAGGTAACTGTGGCATGCTGGGGATACATACAGTGACATACAGAGATTAACTGTATATACAGAGCTAGCATACCGTAGCATACTGTAGATTTACCGTAGATTACTGTAAAAATGTTGTAGGATACAGAGAAAGACAGTGGATTTTCATACGGACAGGGGTTTTAAAAGCCAGTAGTGTCAAATTCACTCATTTTCTTCAAAATTCAAGAACATTGTAGTTTCAATTAGCTTGAGTCTCAAAACTTGGACTCTTCGGGGATTTTTTTATAGAAAATGAAAACACTTTATGTTGACGTTCGAAATGATCGCAAGGGCTTGGTCAGTTAATTGGTATAATTAATGTCTAGGCAATCTCATGGAGTAAGTGAACCTACTTCTTTGTGTAATATTTTTTAATAAAAAAAAAGGAAACTTTGTAATACTTTAAATCAGTAATTCATATCGATACTTGACTATTTGAGTAAAATATTAAGTAAAAATAGAACATACATAGCTTCGGAATTGAAAATTAACAAGTAAATATCCTACATTTTAAAGTTTCTTAAGAAAAAAATCTATTCTTCAATTTTTGCCACCCCCACCTGCCAAAAAAAAAAAATAAATAAAAAAAGAAAATGATTAAAATGGGTCACAGAATAAAATGTGCAAAATCAAACAAATTTGAACCAGTAATTTCAGATATTTTGGCAAATAAAAACTTCGATGACCAAAAACAATTCAGTAGATGACGTCACAATATTTGAACCTTTCCCTCTTGATATGACATTGACCTTTATCGTACATAAAGCTTGGAGTCTC